TGTCAACTCCTGTTACTACAAATATTAACTTTTTTTGGATTCTATTTTTACAATGATATATGAATAATGCATCTTCAAACTGGTGTCTCAACCTTACTGCCAACTTTTCTCGTTCAGGAAAAATTGCCACTTATTTCCCAACCAAGTATTCCAAAGTAAAACTTTGCTCAACTTTAACTGGCTGTACTGGAAAAAAATGTACTACGAGAGTTTGGCAAGTAACCTTAAAAGTTGGCGCATTTAATAACGATTCCAAAATGGTATAACACTTAGAAGATTACTCGTTAACTTATGCACAATTTTTATTTGAAAAAAAAACCGATGAAAATTTTTCAAAATTTCCTAATTAAACAGCGATTATGAAAACGCACAAGGACCCTTAAGGATAACTGTTTGCACAACAGTGGGCGTCAAAATGCTGCTGATGATGATTTACCTTTACAGCAAATGCTCAAACTGTTTTCCTTCAGCCGCAATACACGCTCGACGTCTTCTTAAAAAAGATCGGGTTATTAAACGAGCCAATCCACGGTTATTAACAAACTCAGCTGCTTCCAATAGTCTTTACCGTAGCTCAGCTACATTTTGAATCGGCTCGAAATACACTTTTTCTTTTACAATTACCCAGTCAAAAAAAAGGATTCAAATCAGGTGATCGGGCTGGCCACGGTATTGTACCAGACCGCCTTATCCATCTGCCTGGAAAGTTTTGATCGAGATACTCTCTCACTGAGAGTGCATAGTGCGCTGGGCAGCCATCATGCTGAAACCACATGTCCCTGTAAATACTCAGTGGCACGTCCACCAATAAATTTTGTACATAATTTTTCAAAAAATCCAAATAAACTTCAGCAATCAAAGTCTCTGGGAACTCAAACGCACCGATTATTTTACCATTTAAAATTCCTGTCCAATGGTTTATCTTGAAGCGATATTGAGATTTATCTTCTCTCATCAAATGTGGCTTTGCTACGTGCCACTCGTGTAAGTTATGCAGGTTCATGTACCTATCTTTCTTAAATGTGGTCTCATCCGACCATAAAATTTTTTCAAAGAACTGTGGATCTTTCCTGTGTCTTTCTAACATTGTGCGACAAAAAGCAACTCGGGGCTCATATCCCGGGGCAGAAGAGCTTGAACACGCTGTATGTGGTATGGATGAAACACATCACTTACTTGCTATTGCACACTTTGATACCGATCAGTACTCCTTCGTTTACTGCGCATCTTTACATGTTCGTGCTTGTTGATTTCGTACTGTTACTAATTTTGGATTCGTGAACTGGACTGTTGATCGCTTGTGATTTGGATTTGGACTGTTTAATTGCTCTTCAAAACAACATTTGCTTTCCTTAGACAATCTTTGATAGTGTGATTCTACAGTGTCGCTATGTCCGTGTACACCGTACAAGAATATGCTAACATGCACCTCATTTATGGGGAATGTAGATGCAACGTTAATGATGCAGCGAGACTTTACTGTGAGAGGTACCCGAATGCAGCTCGTCATCCACATCATCGAGTGTTCACAAATGTGCACCGCTTACTGTTCTCAGAGGGCCAACTACCAAACCAATCACACGGTGAGGGAAGATCTTTCCTTCCTTACGAAGACGTGGTGCTAGGAGCTGTCGAAGAAGACCCGAGTACTTCAGTGCGTGCAATAGAACTAAAAACAGATGTGCCCAAAAGTACAGCCCATAGAATCTTGCAAAAAAACGTGCTCCATCCATACCACGTACAGCGTGTTCAAGCTCTTCTGCCCCGGGATTATGAGCCCCGAGTTGCTTTTTATCGCACAATGTTAGAAAGACACAATGTTCTTTGAAAAAATTGTATGGTCAGATGAGACCACATTTAAGAAAGATGGGTACATGAACCTGCATAACTTACACGAGTGGCACGTAGCAAACCCACATTTGATGAGAGAAGATAAATCTCAATATCGCTTCAAGATAAACCATTGGACAGGAATTTTAAATGGTAAAATAATCGGTCCGTTTGAGTTCCCAGAGACTTTGACTGCTGAGGTTTATTTAGGTTTTTTGCAAAATCATTTAGAAAATTTATTGGGGGACGTGCCACTGAGTATTTAGAGGGACATGTGGTTTCAGCATGATGGCTGCCCAGCGCACTATGCACTCTCAGTGAGAGAGTATTTCGATCAAAACTTTCCAGGCAGATGGATAGGGCGGTCTGGTACAATACCGTGGCCAACCCGGTCACCAGATTTGAATCCGTTAGATTTTTTTTACTGGGGAACTGTAAAAGAAAAAGTTTATTTCAAGCCGATTCAAAATGTAGCTGAGCTACGGCAAAGACTATTGGTAGCAGCTGAGTTTGTTAATAACCGTGGATTCGCTCGTTTAATAACCCAATCTTTTTTAAGAAGATGTCGAGCGTGTATTGCGGCTGAAGGAAAACAGTTTGAGCATTTGCTGTAAAGGTAAATCATCATCAGCAGCATTTTAACGCCCACTGTTGTGCAAACAGTTATCCTTAAGGGTCCTTGTGCGTTTTCATAATCACTGTTTAATTAGGAAATTTTGAAAAATTTTCATCAGTTTTTCTTCAAATAAAAATTGTGCATAAGTTAACGAGTAATCTTCTAAGTGTTATACCATTTTGGAATCCTTATTAAATGCGCCAACTTTTAAGGTTACTTGCCAAACTCTCGTAGTACATTTTTTTCCAGCACAGCCAGTTAAAGTTGAGCAAAGTTTTACTTTGGAATACTTGGTTGGGAAATAAGTGGCAATTTTTCCTGAACGAGAAAAGTTGGCAGTAAGGTTGAGACACCAGTTTGAAGATGCATTATTCATCATTACATTGTAAAAATAAAATAAAAAAAAGTTAATATTTGTAGTAACAGGAGTTGACGGACTGCCGTAGGGTGTGAAATTTCTATATTTTTTTCAAAGACCTATAATTTTCAAAACACATACATAAAATTTTTTTAAATATTTTTCTGATAGCTGTTATGACTTTGCCTATCACCCGGTTTCGGCTTGACGTCAACTTCTGGGACACCCTGTATAATGATGCACAAGTATATGATACTAAACAACTTTACTTCTTACACACCATCACTTATTATCACAAAATTATATATTAATGAACGCGACATAATTAAACATAGTCATAACACTAGATATAAATTACCCGCAAAAAATGTTACTAAACCAAACAAATCTTTAATGATACGATGTCACCTGTATTTAGCTCCAAAATTGTACGAACATTTACCAAATAATTGGGAGAAATCACATTAATAGAATAATCTCAAATATGATCCATGCACAGGCATTGCCCTTCTATGGATAGATTATATTTTTATTTACTCGTTTCATGTTCTCTATATTTTAGAGTAAATAAATATTATTGTTATTATTATTTTTATTTGGACGATGATTCTAGTACTTCCAGCGAATAAAGAATTGTGTAAAGTATGTAGTTCTTTCCGTAAAAATAATCATTTATTTTGTTTGCTCATTCCAAGACAATTGAGGAAAATACGGACCTGTACAATCTCGCTTCTAGGCATGTTGTGTTTTGTGTGGGCGTAAATGGACTACGAATGGGGTATAGTTTGTATCTGACTGTTAAGTGGTCGCACAATGAAAACAAATACAATATTGTCCAGAAATGTTATTATTGCTCTCATACAGCGAAAAAAAATCAAGAAGAGATTCCGAGAATTAGAAAGCCCATCAAACGTTTTTATCGGCCGATACTGAATCGCTGTAATGTGTGCATATGCATACCTCTCCATACTGATTAAGAAGCCGACCAAACTATCGGCCGATGGAAAGTCTGCTGTCTGCGGGGGCCTTTAGTATATACCGCTATAAGAGGCGCAGGTTCAATACTCGCCAGTGTCCATTTTTCCTACCTCTCAGGTTGTTTTTCTTTTCTAAAAAATTATGATAATTCCAATCAAGTCCTTCGTATATTTCTATCAGCAATAATACGAGTATTTTCTTAATGATGAGCTTGTACATATAGATTTTAAGGATATTTAGGTGTGATGTAGCTTGAGTATGCTAAAGCAATACAAATTATGTCATAATCGCAACGTATGTCAATGTCAAAGTATGGTGATAAAAATGTAGAGTAGCAAACAATTCGAAAGAGATAAAAAGCTCTATCAGCTATACCAAGTGATGTAAGGAAAATAACATTAAAATATATAGAAACAGAAACGTGAACCTTTGCAATACAACAATCTACATTTATTTTAGGAATTGTTCTTAGTATTCCAAAGTTTATTCAGGATTTTTTTTCATTCTCTCATAAAACGCCATATTTTTTCCAGCATATCTATTCTTTTATTTATGTATAACGGCCAATAAGGTTTTCTTATCTGTCCAGAAACACTATAATGTTACATCACCTAGTACGCTGATACATGCAATGATTCTAGCAATACGCATTCTCGTCAATTTTTTGTTTGTTAAAATATATAATCTTCAACTCTGAGTCCGTCCATGTTTGATGGACATTTATACGCAATATCTCTGGCAGAAACATATCTAAAGCCCGTCCGAGATTTTACAATAATTGCGCTACTATAAAGCTGTTATCACACTATATGAAAGGTCCAGTCTTCATCAGCTTTGAGGTGACAAAATTGGGAAACAGGCAATTTTTATGCAATAAAGATAAAAGCCAATTTATCTGTAACCGTTGAGATCCTCAAAAATTTACGAATTTTCTGCATTGAACATGTCAAGACTGGATACGAGTATAAAAAACTGTACGAAAAAACTAAAAACTCCTATTAAATCTCTGTTTTTATGCTTGACATCGTCTTAAATAGATTCAAGCTCTCCTAATATTGCAAAAACCTATAGATTGGGTGTGTCTCTTTATATGCAATTTCCCTAGTAATTTCTCTATTTCAAAAATCATATAGAAGCAAAAATAGTAAAAGAAGCTAGGAAATATTATTTTTTCCATAGCTTTTCCAGATTTTCTAACGGACTTAAATATTTTTATAGCAACGTAGGTCCAAAACTGTGGAGGCAGACCTTTACAGTGAAAAACAAATCAAAGTATGTTAGTGTTATACGCGATGGCAGAAAAACTTACGTCAAGATGTTGAAAAAAAATCGCACCAAAAAAGCGAAACAGTGAATCGACTCATCATTTACTTGCCAGATGGAATTTTTCTCATTATTAGCTTGTGGTAGATATTGTCCTCTATTGTTTACTGAATAAAATAATTAACAATGTATTGTTGTTTTATTATTATACAAGATTATTATTTGTGGGTTGGCTTCCAAATATACTGGGTGGTACAGTACGTTTGTCTGTCTTTGATTATATACTAAGTGACATATAAATCCGAACACCCAGTTTAAATGGTTTTATTTTAATAAAATTTTGTATGAGTACTTAATGAAGCATAATAAGTAAATGATAAAAATTTCAAAATGATTGCACTGCTTTAAAGCCCTTTGACCTTTAATAATGTGTGGATGCACCCTGATGTGCTACGCATTCTCCAACGCGCCTAGGCATGCTTCTGATCAGGTGGTCAATGTCCTCCTGTGGTATCTCATTCCAGGCAACCACCAACTCCTCCCGAAGTGCTTCTAGAGTCTGAGGAGGACGTTGCAAATTGAGCAATCCCCTACCCATCATATCCCACACGTGCTCAATTGGGGATAAGTCAGGAGATCTTGGTGGCCATGGTAACAATGTGACATCATTATGTTGAAAAAAGTCTATTGTGACTCTTGCAACATGTGGTCGGGCATTATCTTGTTGGAAAGTTGGATCTGCCAGGGTGTCAAGATAGAGTAAAATATGGGGTTCTAGAACTTCGTGAATATAACGCTGCGCGTTCATGTTACCTCTGATGAAGATTAAAGGTGACCTGGAACCATAAGCTATAGCACCCCAAACCATAACTCCAACAGTGTGATGAACATGTCTTTCAACAAAAAACTGTGGATTCCTCCTTTCACCACGTCGCCTTCTAACCCTGGCACGACCATCGTGCATGCCTAAACAAAATCGAGACTGGTCACTAAAGACAATACTGTTCCATTCCTGATCCCAGAGTGACCGTTGTCTGCACCACTCAAGGCGATTACGTAGGTGTTCTCGAGTTAAAGGGAGGATCCAGTGTGGCCGGTATGAAAACAAGCCAAAACTTCTCATTCGTCGGTAAACACTTCGCATGCCAATAGGTCTTCCGTTTTCTGCAAACCATTCATTTGCAATAGACCTGGTAGTGGAGAAACGGTCCCTTAGGGCCAATAATCTTAGGCGGCGATCTTCACGGTCTGTTGTTCTACGGCGGCGTCCAGTGCCCCTTGCTCTTTGCGTACGGCCTTCTCGAAGCCATGCCTGAGAACACCTAACCACAGTGACTACACTTCTTTGCACTCTAACTGCAATTGCCCGAAAAGAAAGTCCAGCTTCCCGAAGTCCCACTATACGGCCCCTATCAAACTCACTAAGTTGACGCAATCGTACAGGTCTCCGTACTCTAGGCATCGTAACCGATCGTAAAGGATGTCAAGAACCAAAATCCGCCAACGTTGATTCTTTACTGCGGCTGAAATATTCATTTTTAGAGCGTTAGTGAATAAAAAAAGCAGTATAAAAACCGGAATGTCCAACTGATAAGGCTGAAAATGTTTTCACTTGTTATTTACAGTGAGATAAATACATTCACCAACTTTTATTAAAATAAAACCATTTAAACTGGGTGTTCGGATTTATATGTCACTTAGTATATTTCTCAAAAGTAGATTGATATATTGATATTACCTTTGGTAGATAGAAAATGTATTATTAAAAGTCACATAGGCTTCTATACAATTGGTCTCTAAGGCACTCAAGTAAATGACGTCAAGTAATTGGACTCTGCATTCGTCAAGAAAAAAACGAAGCTTAGGTGATTTTTATTTTTATCGCTTTTTGCCCTTAGCACTGCCGCCACTGGACCGATGTTCGTTGGCCAAGTACTTGTGCGAAATTTTCATCCAGATTCAAGCAGTACTTTCCAAGTTATAGATGGGCCAAGGACACCCGACCAACAAACAGACCGACATAGGTAAATCAGTGACATAGTTTTTCGTGATGTACAAATCAAGTAACATCCAAAAAACATAATATTTCATTTTTCACGATTACGCTACTGGTTCTCACTGGAAGATAGTATTAGTATCTTGGAGATTGATTCTACCAAAGCTTGGAGCTTGGAGCTTTTCATTCGCATGCACCGAAGATAAGGAAATACACCAAAAAATAATTTTCGGACAGTACATCCCAACTAACAATTATCACTCCTATTAGAGTTGCAAGAATGATTATACAATATTCCTTACACAGCATTGTATACTGTAAGTACATTGGCAAAACCCTCTTAGAACAGCTATACAAGCGGAATGGGTACACCTAATAGGACACTTCAGTCATTTAAGAGGTTAAATAAGGGCTGCAGGTAACAGTTATAAAACAAAAGTGTAAGCCTCTTGCAGCCGCTATATGACATTTGCGTCAGTGCAAGATTCAGTTTTTGTCAACTATACAACTATTCTGTTACGTGATTCTACTTTATTGCAACCAAACTATTTCTTATGTATTGTATAGACGAAGTGAAGAATATATAACCAATACATTACAGTCATCTTGTTTACTTACATATCGGCCATTGTGAATTTCATACACAGGTATATGGTAAACTTCTACACTGTGATATAGAGCTATTGAATTACTTGCGCAGCAAATTTTATTGTGATTATCGGGCAAATTAGTTACCCAATTTCTACGGGCTTCGTATTTGATTCATATTTTGACAATGATCAAAAGTATGTCTAGATTTTTAAGATGGAAAACTGAACTTATCTGCGTTAAATCTTCCACAAATCCTATATTTAGACACAATTACACTAATGTTTATCACTTTATATCTGTAATTTCGAATTGAAACATAATTTTTTAATATTAAATAGAGGAATAAATGTTTGCCCAATATGGCGGGTGGTTGTGTACAATCATGGCATCGTCTATGTTGTCTTTAGGTTATTAGAATATTTTGGTCTTGCCTGCAGGTGTTATACAACAATTTGACAAATTTCTGAAATGAAATACCGACAGAGTCGAATGATTTACCCAGAATTTGTACCAGATCTATATCTTCTGTTTGAACAGTTGATAAAACCTTTTGAATCAATATGCATGCGTTGTTTGTCTTAAAACATTGGTTATGGCATTTTAACAAAAATATGACAGCAGAAAGTTAGGTTATGGTGAACTTGTTTACCAACATATTTAGCATATGTACAGCCTTTAACAGTTACTTAACAACAGTTGTATAAGTTCTTCCGTTGGGAGCAATTTGTTGGCTAAGGTAGTAAATTGCACAGCAAAACAACAAGGCTCGGGTTTGTTTTATAAACGTTACCATGGATGCCACAACACAACCATTTTGACTAACGTGCAAATATGCCGTATAAAATAGTTGTATAAACGTTTATGCAACAGTTAAAAATTTGCCCTATAAGGTGTTGTATAACTATGCTATAAGAATATTTTAAACACTTCATTTTAGAGCAAATATGTTGCAGAAAGCAAATCTGCATTCCACACAACATTAAACCAGCATTTTTGTGTTCAGGCAACAACAATAGAGAGCTTTTATGGCTGAACGGTTCTTTTACCAAAAGCTTATACCACTACTTTGCTAGTTGGGATATTACAGATTACAACAGAATCTGGATCTATTGTATATACACTTTATAAAGCACTTTGACCAACCTTTATCCTTTAATCAGACTCCATAGCCTTGACACAGCGCTTTGTATGTAGCTTTCCGTTGTTGGATTTGTGATTCCTACTATCTGAAACCGTAGCCTTTCCAGGCTTTCACAGTGACACAGTCGATGCATTTTCCTCATCCTCTCTGCTGAAACGGCATGTGGCCTACTCTGCCAGACCCAAGAGCCTCATATGTCGGGAGACTATAACCATTATGCCTTCCTATTAAATCAGACTAGGTCCAATTTTTTATGGACTGTTTATTGTGTGTTCTCGTCATGCCAGAGAATGACTCTGAACCGATAAGGCGATTGGCCGCATTCTGTCTGTCTGGTTCATCCGCATTTTCGTTTCCTTTGCGCCCTGCATGCCCTGGTGACGAGAGCATTGTTACCTTGTTTCTGTTTGCCAGGTCTTTGAGAGTGTACACGCGACAATACGAATACCGGTTTGAGACGATACTTATTTCTACAAAAACTAGTGATGCACAATTACCTGTACCAAATAAGGCCACATTAACGTTTGGATACCTGTAACTGCGTAAATATTTGCGAAACTACCTTGAAATTTTAAAGGTATTATTGTAGATATATTTATTACACAAGCTACATCGGAGAACTCGGAGACCTTTTCTTTTCATATAAAAAAAAATATATTTTTCGAAACACTACCGTTGGCCTTATTAGGAACCCATGTATCCAAATAAGGCCACCATCTGGTTTTCAATAAAACCACAATCAAAATGTAAATCAAGACTGTATAATAAACGAAGCTATATTTCTAATTAAACAAAATTAAAAAAACATTTAAATCTAGACAGATTTAAATAAAAAAAGTCAACTTGTTTAAAGAAAATCATACAGAATCTTAGATTTTGCCTTCGCAATGATGACAAACAAATGATACTTTATCACCTCTACACAAGCCTACACATTCCTCATGGACATATCTTAAGGATACTACACACAGACGCATGTCACGTACTTCATCCTTATCGCATATGAAACAGTACCAGTTTTCGTCTTTATTCTTTCGGGACCTTTTGCTTTTAACGGTTCCAGACTCACTAGATTTTTTTATTGTTTTATCTAAGCCGGATGTACCTGGATTTGGCTCTTTAAACAAATCTCTTACGACGATTTGCGCAGTAGAATTGATGGCTTTTCGTCTTTTTGTGGCGTTGGCCTTCCATTCGGGTGTGGGAAGTACTTCCCTGAAACTTAGATCCAATTGATCACTGTCTATTTGACCAGTCACAAGATTTGTAGTTTCAAGAACTGCAAACTTTTGAGTCGAGTTTATTTCTTTTTCATTAGAAGTAGCTGTTATCTGTAACATTGAAGTTCCGTTGGCCATCAGTAGTGTAAGGGGTATGTCATCAGATTCTGTAAAGCTGACATCATGGTTTTCCTCATTCTCCTCCTGATCATCTGTAGCTGCCGTATTTGAATCGGGCCTCTCTGACATTAAACTAGGTGTAAATGCAGTCTCCGGGATCGCAGCTGGGTCGTGTGGGTATATTCCTGTTGCGCGAAATCCTGATTGAAGATTTTCAGAAGACATGGCCCTTGGATACACTTTCCTCAAAATTTCTCCAAATCTTGCACGATTCAACTTCCTGCCAGGATACCGCTTGTAATGGTTAAGTATTTCATTTTCCCAATGATATTGGAAACTGCGGAAAACACATTTATCCAGCGGTTGCAGCACGTGTGTCGTGTTACTGGGAAGACACAGTAAAGTGATGTGATGTTTTTCGACGGAGTCAACAATAGTTGCATCCAAATGAGAAGAGGCACCATTAAAAATGAGAAGAATATCTCCTGATGGCTTATAGTTTGCTAGATGGTCTAGCCATTTAACAAACACTGCTGCCGTCATACTTCCTATTTGGGTCATTTCAATTACTGTTCCGGTTGGCATATTGTCACCCCATTCATCCTTTTTACGTTTTCCCTTGAACAGGACCATTGGTGGTATTGCCTGTCCAATAGCATTTCCACATGCAACTATTGTGGAATTTTCTGCGTGCTCATTAGCTACATAGTGAACACGTCTTTCACCTTTCCTCGCCAACACATTTGGTTGGCGGTGGATGGTGAGTCTGCACCCCTTCTCATCTACATTGTAGATACGATGGGGCTGATTGATTAGGTTTAGTCTAATCAGCAAACTTTCTAGTTTTTTGAAGTAGTCATTTACAATGTACTTATTTACTGCCTGTGCCCTAGCTGGATTTAAAACCTGTGCTTTCCTTTGGCGAATATTTTCATGTTTGTCCAAAAACAACTTCAACCATTTTCTACCTGCCATTCCACTATTTTCATTAAATGTGTGACGAATTTTTTTGTCATTAACATAGGAAAAGACGGATTTTCGCAAAATCTTTGGTGTAAGGGGCATTCCTGTATCCGATAATCGGATTATCCTTGAGCATAGTTCATCTTCCTGCTCTCTAGACAAAATTGTACGAGTACCAAGTTTTCTTTCTCGCACACCTGTACGAACATGATTGCGAAGTGTTCTTCGTGGAATTTGGTATTCTTTGGATGCACGATTTACCGACGTTCCACTGTTTATACTATCCAGTGCTTGTACAAGCGCTTCGGTTGACCACAGCGCCCTTTTCTTAGGGGGCATATTTCGACTATAGTCTCTGAAAAAAAAACATCTTAATTTTAGACATCTGCCGTAATGGCCAGCGTGTTCCTAATAAGCCCAAGTGGCCGTAATGGGAACCGTTTATCATGGCCTTATTAGGCACATATATAACCTTAAACATACAATTTATAAAATACAAAATATTTAAAACCTGGCGACGACAAATAACTAGCTGTATATGTTCTATAGACTTACCTGATTGAACTGACAACAGATTTCGCGAAAAGAAGCAGACAACATGAAAAATCGAAGACAAATTTAAAGTATTAATTTTGTAAGGCACGTGTTGAAAATCGACACTGGCCAACTGCGCCATCTAGCGCCGCTCCACACCTGCTACATTTATGGGTGCTAACTCATCCCAATGAACGTATAGAACTGTAGAAATCTTTAATTCTAGATGTAACTAGTGTCTGCAATATCGACGCATGGCCTTATAAGGAGCTTGGCCTTATTTGGTACAAGTACCTTAGAATTTCCAGACCCATGCTTATACCATTTCTTTCATATCTTCACGTACTGAATTGGCCGTTAGATGTTCGACATTCTGTAACACCCTGTATGCAGTATGTCTTAATTGTGATGCAAAATAGAATGCAAAAGTATAACAAAGGTTTCTGTAAAATGAGCTTTATAACAAGTTTACAAGTTTGTCATAAATTCATGTCAGTCTCCTAGGTAAAAATCTAGTAGCTTTCTGTCCTAATTTCGTCTTATATCCTGGTTTTGGTAGGCCATTTTTCTTTATCCCTACGTACCACTCTGGGAAAACCGACGAAGCATACGTTGTATACAGTCCCAAGAAGTTCTCTATGAATATCGTTGCCTCGTTTGATGGATCACACTGGAAATAGTTTTGCATTATCGACTCATAAAGTTTGGAAAAAATATCATTTGAAAATTTTCGCGATCTCAGTACTTCCTGCCAGTGACGTGAGAAGTAATGAATCGTACCAAAGTAAAATAAGAAATACAGCTTATTTCCCGAGCATCCATAATTCTGTACACAGTAATGGAATGCAAATTGACAGATTTATTTTTAGAACGCCTAAAATATTACAGAGTAATGACACTTGATGGCAGCCCACTAATTTCTAACCACGTTTTATTTAAAACAAATTTCAATATAAGACACATTATTAATACGAGGGAACCTATTTATCGTAAAAAATATACCGGGTGTAAAGTTGGTAGTAGATCAATGGGAGTCAGGTCATAAAGCGCCTCAAAACCGATCGGATGAACCCCTATATGTTATAGTTCACTAGATATAAGCAATTTTGTGAAATTTCGAAAAAAAATACGGGATAATGAACTTTCAATCGCAATTACAACTAAACCATTAGGCTTAGGACTGTGATTTTTTTTCTGAGATCAGCTAAATGGTTAGTTTTAGCAATGGTTATGTTACTTTTTAACAAAGCTTATTAGAAATTAACGCAAAAAATCTTAAATTCATTTTTTTGAGAAAAATCGCTTCCATCCCTCAACTTTGGAGGGAAGTAAAAAAAATTGAGATTGTATTTCATTATTCATTTTATTGTAAAAACTATTTCAATCCATGTAAAATCATGTCACATTCGTTGTTAAACGTAAGAAACGCAATAGAATCCTTACCACCTACAAGTACAGAACCTATTGTGATTAGCCGCTCTTTATGGCGATTTACCGACACATGTGGAAGATAATTTAATTTAGCTAAATTTTAAAGAATATGTTTTTTTTTATGTTTGCTTGATCAATCCTCTGACACAGTCGGTTGACATTTGTATATTCAGATGTATAGATTATCCCATTATAAAATCCTCATATAAAAAAATCTAGAGGATTTAAATCGGGTGCCCTTGGAGGCTATCATATGTGTCCACCTCTACCTATCCAACGCACAGGAAAAGCACTGCCTAATGCCGTACAACCTGTGACAAGTGACGTGGGGCACCATCGCATAAGTACATCCTCAAGCAGCTCATACAAACTGCTTAGTAGAAATCAAGATATAACTGACCATTCGATCTGGAGAGCAATTCATATGGTCCAATTAATTTACATACTCCCGATACATGCGAGCAGCCGCTCGAGCATTTCCTAGGGCAGCACCATAATAGTAATGCATTTCTGCATAATCTCGCGGAGAATATCACATGATTCTACTCAGATTCCAAACGTTAGATACAAATTCCGCTCTGGACCATAGCCTGGCTTAGTAAATCTTGGGTGTAGTTTTAAGTCGCATCAGGCAAAGTCAGTATTACAGTGTTATGTTTGACGAAATTACAAACATTAGCCATAAATCACAAATGTCAATCGTATTGCGGTATTGTTATCAAAAATATATTTACGAGGACTTCATGGGATTTGTGGATTGCTACCCAAATTTTGATGAAGATACAATGGAGCCCAAACTCACAGGTCAAATTCTTGCTCAAACAGTCAAGCATTTCATTAAGACCAATAACTTAGGCTCAAAACTATGTACATATAGGCATTGGTACTGATACGTGTAATGTAATGTTAGGTGAACAAAAGGGCGCTGTAATGGAATTGCAAAAATGTTTGCCAAATGCTCTAAAAAGCCCATGCGCAAATCATGCCTTGAATCTTTCGATTTCAAAAAGCAGCAGTGTCCAAGCAGTAAGAAATACTGTAGGTATAATGAAGGAAGTAATTGAGAGCATCCGTTAAAAGAAATACAGTATTGAAAAGAAAACTAGACGGATATCAAATTCATAGTATGTGCGAAACACGATGGACCGAGAGACATGATTCTGTGCTCCAATTTGAAAACAAACTCGAGAAAATTGTAGGGGTACTAATAAATATGTGACCGCGAACCATTACTTCCAGCCAATTTATCGTATCACTAACGTGTTTGTGTGATATGTTAGCTTTAACAGTCAACCTGAGTAAGATTTTACAATCAAAAACAATTGACAAACAATACGCTGTCAAACTCATAAGAAATATTATTTCAGTTGTACAAATTATACGTGCAAATTTCGAAAAACACTTTAGAATACTATTCGCATCTATAATGAAACCCTGCGTATTGAACTGACTGTGCCAAGAATAACAAGCAGGTAGATGAACAGACCGAACATAGTTACGTCTGGCAAGGAAAATCATCACAGACTGAACCTATAAGTCCCTTTACTAGATAATATATTACAGGATTTGGTATACCGGTTCAATGAAAAATCTTTGAATATATACAATTTTAATATTTTCTTTGTGTCAGTATTTAATTCAAAAACTGAAGCTGAAGTAATGGACATATTAGAAACAATCTCTAAATATTTGCATGGACTAAATAGTAACGAAAACAAAAATTTAATATATACCGGAGTAAAAGTAGAATTTGACCTTTGGAAGTCACGTACACTAGATATTATAGACAGTGGAACGTCACTGTATTTATCATGTGATGAAAACATTTTTCCTTCAATTAATAGATGCCTACAATTATTGATTTCATTGCCGGTAAGTGTTGCGACATCTGAAGGAAGTTTCTCCCATCTAAAGAGGATAAAAAGTTGGCTGCACTCCACTATCTTACAAGAGCGATTAGTGGGTTTAGCTCTTTTTTATATGCATAGGGATATTGAAATAGACGTGAATACAATCATAGACTGGTTCGCCAGCAAAAAGGATAGGCGCGTTCATGTTGTAATATGATAACACTCGAACTTTGCCTAAGGTTGTTTCTCATATGCATCTCCCAATAATTAAAAGAGCAGATGTAGTTAAGGGTTTACTTACGTTTAAACCACCACGGTGATCTTTTCCAAAGTATCCAATCAAGATATGTGGTTTTATTTATTGGCCAGCAGATTGATACAAAAGTTTCATAGTTTATATGATTTTGTTTTTTGAGACTGGCTAAGAGAATGTAGTTATGCAATGAATATTTTGTGTTTTTCTCATGATTAAGAAATTTATTTTGACATACATTCAGTTTTATGCTTTATAGAAGTCAAAACATGTTTGTTATTGTTATTTTTTTCATGAAGATGTATTTTTTGTTGTTTTGTCCGACATTGTTATGTAGAAAAGTCTGTGATAGATTATATTATTTTGCGTTTTTGTTTTAATATATGAAGATTGATCGAGCCTGGTTTGGTTTATTTACACTTTGATTTCATATGATTCAAAATTTTAAAAAAAATTGTATGTATTTTCTACAGAAATTACTGTAACAAATTCATATGTCTGTATATGTCCATGCTTTTAATATGAAATCCTTATAACACTTCAGTACGTCACACTGAGAATTTACTTTCCATTTCGCAAAATTGCAAATATCTCCTGAACTATAAAATTTTGGTCCACACATATAGGGGTTCATTCGATAGGTTTTGAGGCCCTCTATCACCTGACTACCGTTGATCCACTATTAACTTTACACCATGTATATGGGTTTTTTTGGGCACTTTTTGATAAGTAAACAAACAATGAACCATAAGCATGACAAGTGCTAATACTCTTATTCCCAAAGTTTTGGAAACGGGAAGAAAAGTGCAATTTCGACCAGTGGCGATGCGTGACTTTTCCTAAACTGTTACCAAAACCAGATGTGAAAAATCTTATTGAAAAAAGTTTATTTTGAAGCTCCCAAATATAAGTTTTTGCTTATTTTAGGTATTTTATTTAAACTATTTTTAAATTAAGGTAAACATTCCTGGACTGAGCGTCTGGGGCACTTGATATACCTCATCGTCTTATGCTATGACTAATCCAAGCCGTTCGAAAAAACAGTGCACGTTTCTAGATGTTCGGAAAATTTTTGATCTTTTTTGGCAATGAATGTTAACAATTCCCTGTAATTTCCTCTATTGTCAGAGTCATCCACTTCAAAATAAACGGTAATTAATTCCTGTTTTGCCAAAAAATATACGGTATCTAGAAGTGTGCTGCCTAAAAGCTTGGTTAAGACATCTTTCGATTCTTGTTTTGCCAAACTGAATTAAATTATAAAAGGAGAATGACTTTTCAAGTAGTTGATCGATGGCGCAGCGACACTCATCCATGATTAATTTATAATAATAATAATAATAAGTCTCAGAGCTTCGGTACCTTGCACTGACTTGTTCAATTCGTCACTCTATAAATACGAATGTGGGATAAATACGTTTATTCGTTTCCTGAATCTTGAAAAGGAAAGTGCTAAGGAAATATTTTAAAAAATATAAACAGGTAGTATATCACACAAATTATAGTGAGTCAGTGTTATTTTGTTTGAGAGTGCTGAAGAAAAGTAAGTACATTATTTTTTATTAAATTTTAGTTTTGTACTCGTAGTTAGCAAAGATAGATAAATTACGCCAATCATGACTTTAGTTATTAGTAGTTAAATATTCAATCATGCAAAATTACACGAGTACTCCTCAATAGTTTCCTTTTGAAAGTTTTAGCAATCGGTAATATAATTACAGTGCAATCTCCGTAATTCGAGCTAATTGTTGCAAGAAGATGTTCGAATTATGGAATGTTTTCGGAAAAATCAAAAAATATTTTTAATATACAGCTGCTGGATTTTCTGTCTTATTTAAATAATTTAATTTTGTCCACAGATGATTAATGCCATTTCCGAATCTAAAAAGAAATGTAGACAGTACAGTGTTGATTATTTGAAATTTGGCTTCATTCCATCATTGCCGGACAAACAATCGCCTATGTGCCTTTTATGCAACAAACTTTTGACAAGATTTTTTGCACTTTTTGAGACTATTTTAGAATTTCTGGATACTAAAGATAAAATTATAAAAGAAAATTTAATGAAGAAGAAAACAGACATCGCCTATTTAAGAGATTTGTTTACAAAATTTGATATGGTTAATTTGCAATTACAAGGCGACAGTTTAAATTTGATTAAAACAAAGTCCATCTTATCAGCGTTTCTTGCTAGAGTTAAACTAATGAAGCAAAATATTGGACGGGGCGAATTTTCTCAGTTCCCCAATTTGTCACAGACAAGCTGCCAGGAAGACGACGTTTCAACTTACGTTCAACATTGAAATGCCCTCTATTCAGATTTTGAATCTAGGTTTGAGGATATTTTGACTATGGTAATACCACCGTGGATAATTAATCCATATGGTGACATAAAAGAAACGAATGTCATAATACAAGAGGAACTGACTGAACTAAGTACAAACGAAGAACTTAAGGTTCAGTTTAAAAACGGATATCAGCAATTCTGGCTGCAAAACACCATACCCGTTACTTATCCCGTATTATGGAATATAGCGAGAAAATTTTTAATTTCATTTCCATCGTCATGCCTAGTGGAAAGGGGGTTCAGCGCTGTTACCAATCTCCTAACGAAAAACAGAAACAGACTAGACATCATTAGCCAAGGAGATTTAAGATTAACCCTTACAAAATTGACGCCAAATGTTGATAATTTATTATTAAAGCATCAGGTTTATCCTTCTCACTAAAAATATTGACTTATTCCTTATGTTATTTTATTTATAGTTTATTTTATGTTTATTGGTGTCTGACCAATAAATGCCCGCATTGGGAATAAGTGCTCGCATTGATTTTTTCAAAGAACCCCCCTTTATAGAAAATATTTTTTTTAAAATTATTCTGAAAATTCAAGGATAGGTACACACTAAAATTCGTTAATTTTTTGCCTATTTTTAGATAACTTAAACGTATAAGAAGCGGAATTTGATCAAACTAACAGTGAAATTATTGTAGAACATACGTTTATGTTATAATTAATAAACGAACTCGCTTATTGTACTATTTTAAGTAAAAAACTTTTTTTTTATTATTTCTCACTTTTTTTTTATTTTATCCCTCTTATTTTTTTTTTCAATGCGGGCACTTATTCCCAATGCGGGCACTTATTGGTCAGACACCTGTTTATTTAATGTTATGTATATTTTACATAACAGATACAAAATTTTATTTTGAGTAGTTTTAATTTAAATTCAGTTAATAAATGTATAGATTAACATGTGTTTTTACTTTAAGTTTTTAACACTAAACTTCACTACAGTTAGAAATTTACAGGAAATCAATATCAGGTAAGTAGGGGGTCTACCCAACACGGAAAAACATGGCAAGGGGTCGACGACACAAAAAAGTTTGGGGAACTCTGCATTACTAGATAATCAGCTCTCATTCTACTGTAATGGATACTCGTGAAAAAAGCTTCAGTTCTTAAATTTGACGTTACGTAACCTAAAAACAATCTTCAGAGTGATCAAATTAGTACAAATCATTACAGACTATGACCAAAATACGCTAGAAATACTGAAAACATCACAAACCTCGCCATATAATTTCCCATCACTACAGAAGCAAAGGTAAAGGTTACTATTAACCCCATGAATTCGAACGCGTCCAGGTCCATCTCCTGGAGTTATTTCGATGTGACCTTAAAACACATGATCATAAAAGATCTGCAATAATCATAGTATGCATGATCTCACTATTCTCGTCAGTGTCGTCGCCAGTGCCCAATACTTCTCCGTCTGGTTTAATGGTTAGGTTGTAGTTATTTTGGCAGAAAAGTTGCATTTTGTTGCCAAATGGCCGTCCATCGTCCATTGCTTTAATTGTATAAATCTGCAAGAAGGTGTAATATTGATTAACGTATTCTTCCTGAAGATATCCAACAATAAACTGTATTCCGCCACCCAAGTGATCTGAGAGATTAGAGCGTTTGATTCTGCTACTGTCTCATAGATGACGTTAGGATCTTCAATCTAGTTTTAGCACCTCTCTAATGCATATTTTGATTAGATATCCTTAGATATTTATTAAAAGTTTCTGGATATCTAAGTTCATGCAGAAGAAAAATTATCTATAATACTATCATTCTTCCAAATTCGTTGTACTGTTAGATTATTCTATATTTAGCTAATAATCCCATTTGTGAAAGACTGCAAATTTTAAAAACAAGCATGAGAATAATACTGAATAAAGATAAATATACTCCAGTTGAACAAATTTTTTTGCAAATTAAATTGGCACAATGTGAAAAATTTTATGGAATTCATTTATACAGGGTGACTTCGAAGTTGAGTCATTTATTTTAACAGTGAGTAGATCTGATCAAAAGAAATGTTTCTTTCCTTTACCATTTTTCTGGTAAAATTAAAGTAACAAAGTTATAGCCCTTTGGAGGTTTGAGTACCGCCCTGTCTCAATAATAATATTATGTGCTCATGTTTGGCGACAACGGATATAATCCACCTTATCGGTTCATCGCATCGGAAACAAAAAAGCGAAAGAATTTGGAACGATGTTTTTACAATTATTTTATTCAGCTGTATACAGTCAGTGTCAGTCGGTAACACGTGAGTCAATAGTGGTGTCTGTTGCGTGGCTCAAACGAAATAAAAAATGGCACATGTTTACGAAAATGCTGAACTTATGGACATGATTCTTATTTACGCGGCATCACGGATTTATGCGGATCGGTTTCCCAATCGAGTGCAACCAACCCCTTAATGTAGTACAAAGGGCTCGTGAATCAGGTGACATGCCGGTACTCCAAGACCGCACGATCAAATACAGGTCCGCACTGAAATACTTGTCGGGAGGATACTTTATAAAACAAGGTAACATTTTTTTTAATTTTTTTTATTTTTACACACATATTTTGGTTTATCTTTCTTCTACAATCATTATCTGAAAATTAATGACTCAACTTCAAAGTCACCCTGTATATCAAGGATGTTCCTTAATGATATGCGAATATTTAAGGGTGTGAATCTACATGAAAAATTAATGTTAGTTTGCTTTATAAACTATGGTTCAAAAATTGTTCCTTACAAAAACTCGGGGTGTTGAAGTTTTAGGAAATTAATTAATATTTTCAGAACCGCTTCTGATATTTCACTGATATTTAGTACGTAGTGATAGTTAATAAAGTTGCATATTTTTCAATGCAAAAATAATTTTTATCTTTAACAGTGGCGTGGGTACGGGTATTTATTTCGATATTTTTTAAGAAAAAAATCGTATACCAATGGTTTTCTGCCAAATAAAAATTATTTTTGAATTCCCCATTCAATTTAAAACAAATGATCTCTCTTAAATTGTTTCCTTCCGATGCGCCATTTTTGAGTAAAAAAATAAAAACCGTTTTTCAAATCGTGAGCACATTTTTCGTGGGATTTTAGTTACTTAAATTTCCTGTAATCACTGAGATCAGAAGCTTCTTAATAATAGAACGTGTTTCACTGATATCAAAGATGCAACATTTAGAATCACCTTCCCCCAATCCCCACTTTTTAAGCAGTATGATTATTTTCTGTCAATGATAAGGAACCCCTGTAATGTCAAAAACGGAGTTTCAGCAATTGTTACTTTTTCTTTTTTGCATATAGCACCGTTGCCACTGGACTAAAACTACAAAGCTTTGGCATACTAGTAACCCCGTGTGGAAATTTCATAAAAATCCGAGCGGTTATTTCCAAGTTGATGAGTGATACAGTTTTTCGTGATGTAGATGTCATATGACTTAAAAAACGTAACATCTCATTTTAGAAATTTTTCGCGATTACAATACTTCCTCGCCAATGACGTGGAAAGTAAAACGGCTTTAAAATCGAGGAGTATCAGCGATCGCGATTATAAGTACCTATTTGCAGAACGACTTATCTACGCGATATTATATGAAATATTGACACCAAATTATCTAAATACGTCCTTTCTTAGTCCGTACATTGCGCCGCAACCCAAGCGGCAGCACGAAACAGTAGACAAAATTCGTCCAAAATACGATTTGTAGAGGTTTGCGCGCTTCGAAATTGACGCTTTATTTTTTGATATTTTTGGATGAAATTTTCACAGAGTGCTGACAATAAAACCCCACGGGGTGCTATAGAGCCACTTTTTCATTTTTTTTTTCACTAGGTACTTTTTAAAAAAATCGCGAAGTTGAACAGAAAAAGTACGCACTTCAACCCATCATAAAACTTGTGCAAAAACAAAATTTCAAAAAGTGCTCCTATAGCACCCTGGACAATTATCTTCTCAACATACTGTATGAATTTCATTCAAAAATATAGAAAAATGGAGTGTCAGTTTTGAAGCAGCTGAACCCTTATAAATGGCTTGAAACTCACTGCGTCGGAGCCGCCTTAAGCCATTTTTCTTTTCGAAAAAGTTTTCGAATTGTTTATTTGAGAGATAACCTAGTACACAGAGATGTTCGTGGATTGAGTTATGAATCGTCACTGCATGAAAAGTGCATTATACCATGCAAGGAAAGAACAAAAGGAATATAATACTCAAACTGATAAGAAAGATTCGCAAAGACGAAAGTTCTTATTTGGCTTCTTTTTTGTAGACTGTTAGATAACTTACGTGTATTATCTGGTGGCTGAATATTCATAATAAAAATACTGCGTTTACGGTAAAGGTATGTATTTGTAAAGTACTTACAGGATATACAGACTTTTAAGGTACACTGTTCATCAAAATTACAGTATAACAAATTGGGTTAACGCACTTAACATCATTTTATATTGTCAGGTCGCCAGCGGTTAACTGACGAATGTATACAGACATGTGGTATGGTATGTATGTGTTCGGTTGTAGTTGATGCATATACTTGTTTTGATCACGTAAATATTTAGTACCCATTCAGCTTTATGTTTATTATATAGACCTTTACTAGTCATAGATAAATTAGTTTACATTCTTAGATCACCTACCCGGAGGTGCGTGTGAGTGATACGAGATGTTGTAAAATGGGTGGTCTGGATGAAAATTCGAATCCTTGATAAATTGGTTGCGTAAATTTTGCGTACTTAAACAATTTCATTATTAACATGATTTTTTTAAACCAATAGGCAGCGTCTCTGATTTTCTATACCCACTTGTATTTCCACCCCTTTCAACCTCTTTGAGGCACTTGTGGTTCTGAACGACTAAACTTGATGAGCGTTAATTTCTTAACAACTGTTGAAGTAATCTCCAAACAATATCTCCATATATGGAAGTTTCACATTTGTTTGCTGCGTTTGCCTGTTTTTTTTTTCACCTCTCTTGGGCCATACATGAGTTTATTGTGTCTTTTGTGATACAGCACCTCACACTTAAAAGACATGTAGCGCCTATTATATACCGTTTCCGCATTGTCTGCAGCTAAGGTATCCACTGTACAGTCTCAGGTGCTCTTTCAGGCCATGCCATTGTGACCTGTTAGAAGCCCTGTGGCTGCGCGGAGTTGGTTTCTACCCATTGCGAGCATGAATTCTTTCCCATGCCTACATCCATTCACTAAGGCCCGTATCGTCAGTCGTCCCTACAATTGTAGGGCGCGTTTATGGCCTCCTTGATTGTCATACTCTTTTCTCTCCTTCAAAAATTTCTAGATTACACTCGTCCCGTGTCAGCATCAGCGCTCTCCTATTGTTAAGATATGTTTTCCTTTTGTAGGAAATTTCAGGCTGATAAAACATGATATAACTCAAAAGCAAGCACAATTTGATGCAAATAGATGTTTGTGACATAACCTCAAAATAGAGCTCTGACACGGAGAAGTAGAAAACTATGACAATCAAGGAGGCCATAAACGCGCCCTACAATTGTAGGGACGACTGACGATATGGGCCTAAGTGCCAGCGTGCCTTGTGCTGGTTTCTTACCCATTTGACTTGGTTCGCTATTGTGCCTTTAGGCACCTCCAAGGCAGGTTCTGGGCATGTATAGGATGTGCGAGCTAATTCCCGCGTTACCTAGGTATCCTGGGACCCAAATCAGGGTTACGCCAGTGTGTTCAGTTTTTGTTGGCATTCCCAGATCAGTGCAGATGTTACTCTAGGACTTCTTACCGCTATGATTGACGCCTGACTGTCAGTGTATATGACGATCCTATCATTGTTATGCTCTTGCATAGGACAAGATTGCATACAGTTCGGCCTGAAATACTAAGGTGTGTCTCCGAGTGGTATACTACGCCCAGGATTGCACCTGCTCCCATATAAACCTGCACCTGTCCCCTGCTCAGCTTGTAACCCGTCAGTGTACCAGGCAATTTAGAGGTTGAGACTTTGATGTTTTGCTCGATCTCCAATTTTGGTCTCAAAGTTCTTTTTGAATACAACTCTGGGAGCTATGTGGTCCTCGCATTAAGTATGTCACTTTCTACATGTTTCCTTGTTTGGTTATGACCGTGGTCCTCATTATCTTCTCTTTGGCTGTGACTGTAGCCTGGAGTAGCCCATTCTCGAATCCCCTACCATTACATATTATATCGGTGCAGTGCATCATGAAAGGGCTCAATCCCCATGTTTTGCCATTGGACTCCGCTCTCCTTTTAATACGTTTGATGTGAGGGATCCAGGTCAGTTTGGAGTCTAGACCCTTGACTTCCCCCGACAGTTGCAACCGTTCTCCCAGACGGCATAGAGGTCCTAGCCCCTCTAATTTCGTCCTTCTGGTGAAAGCACTTCAACTCCTATATAGCGGTAGCTTCTGCATATTTTCAAAAAACAAAAAGTAATGCCTTTTTTAATATTTATACCGATTAATTTAAGGTCTGGAAAACATTTTCTCAATACACAACAACACGCGAAAAACCTGCTGTTTTGGGGTTACTCTTTCGAATCCAACGTCAATGTAGTGCTAGAGCTTACGAAGGGCTTTTGTCGAACAATTTTGTTCATCACATTGTGTCCTACAATTTTTTACTCTCACATCCATGTTCAGCCCTTTAATTTACCTGAGTATATGAAGTTTCGTGCACTTATAAAAAGGAAGAGGAAAATGGAAATTTTGCCTTGCAAAATGGTATATTCTGATTTTTTCCTACGAGATTAAGGATCACGGTTTATAAAAAAAAAATGATAACCGCAGTCACCGCAATTTGGCCCTTCTTTTCAAAACTGATTCATTATCGAAGATTTAGTATTTTTATATAATCTATACCGGGTGTTTCAAATTCGACCGTCACCATGGGACCTCAGAAAGAGATACGAAGTAGCGGGAGCAAAGTTGCGTATTTAGGTAATTAACAAAATACAAGTTAAAAAGTTTCGATATTCAAATCACTTCCAGAGAGAGACGGAAAAAACGAATTTTCTCAAAATCGATTTTATTTTTTCCTGATTTTATCTGTATTGAGGTTTCAAAATAAATTGCACATTAACATTGTGACTGTTTTTCCTCTACAAGATGCCGTCATTAGAATTTCAATGTGACGTTTCGTCTCTTGTCTTCCAGCGTCAACTTTATTTTTTATTATGGACGCCATATTGGATGTTTGCACAGATGAATAGATATTTTAATTCTATAGTCGAAATCACGAAAGATGACGATTACGTCATCATTTTAATCTGTAGTAAAGACAAACGACAGCGATTTGTGAATATATTTAATGAAGTTTCTGATATGTTACACAGAGACAAACAGAATTTTATTGTCTAAACAAACTGTATTGCTAATTTGCATGTATCCGACAAAGATAGACGATGTTTTCATGCTGCATGATCGATCATATTTGAACTATGAATAGTTAGGTTATGTTAAAGCAGGTTATGTTGTTTTCGAATAATACTTTGATAACTGTTTTTTTCAAAACAAAAACTCCCCACTAAAATTATTATTAAGGTATCAGTCAAAACCATGATATAAAATGAAAATAAAAATAATCAGTGAAATAACCTAACTTCGCAAAATCATAATATAAATTTGTTGTCATTGTGTTCCTGACATCGTGATTTTATCATCGACGTACGTCCATTAATTACTTCAGTACAATTTAGGGTATGACGTAATAGTCATCTTTCGTGATTTTGACTATAATTGCAAAAATGTATAATACGTCATACATTGGCATTTCCAAACTTAGTTATTTAAAAAAAAGCAGAATTTCCTAGGTTGGCCTTGAAATTGAATAATCATAAATACGCAAAGATAAATCATAGAAGATGTTTAAAATGTTCACTATTTTTTTAGGCAAAGCCTGACTCTTCTCTGTAACAGCTAAGGTTTTTGCAAAGTCAAAGTATGACATATTATACATTTTTGTAATCATACTTAAAAACTCTATTTATCTGCGAAAAAAAACCAATATAAAGTTGATGCTGGAGGACAAGTCACGACACGTCATAATGAAATCCTAATTATGTAGTATTGTAGAGAAAAACTGCAATTTATTTAACAACCCCTCAACAAATAAAGTCAGGAAAAATTGAAACCATTTTGGGAGAATTTTTTTTTCTGTCGCTATCCAGGAAAAGGTACTTTGAGTTTCGAAGCTTGCTAAGCGGATTTTGGTAGTTATCTAAATACGCAAGTTTGGGCCCATTTAAGCGGCATCGTATCTCTTACCGTTTCCAATGATGAGGAATTTGAAACACCCTGTATATTTATGACTTATGAGATGCGAAACCTCTTAAAATAAAATTATTCCCCCACTATGTCCGCATTGAGAATAAATGTTGGAACAAACCAATACAAGTCAATTAGTTATAATTAGGCTTAAAATTTTCTTTTTGTATATGTTTGTATCTTAGTTTGTCTTGTTATAAATTTAAAATAGAAAGCCTTGCGGCCATGCTCTTATATAAAGATACTCAAGCTAAATGTTCGAAAACGGGACAATTTTGGACGAAAATAAATAGAGAAATGTTGATAAAAGCTCGAAGTATATGTTCCACAATATTCAATTGCAAAATTTTCGTGACTTGTAATGTCACGTATTCCTGTTAAGGGGTGATAGATTAGGTCAAAAGCAACCGATTTTGTCCTATAATGTCCTATCCAGAAGTTAACCGTTTTTGGGTTATTTGAATTTTATTTTTTTTATTTTTTATTCCGATTTCAGACGGTTAAATTTGAAATACAAAAAAACTACATGTTTGATTTTGAGTTTTTTGTTATCGTCGCATAGCGGACATTCCAATAGTGCATAATAAGTAATAAATTGTTGAAAACTAACAAACGTTTGAAAATTACGCTTTTGAAATGTATGATTTTCTTATTTATATTCGATAAAAAATGCAATTTTCTTTAAAAAAATCTCCTAGTAATGAAATGTGCAAATTATGTAAATAATATCTCTATCTAACAAGCTTTCATTTGAGGTATAAAAGTTACAACTAACTAAAGTACAAAGACATAAAATTAAAAAAGATGAGTAAAGTTGTACGAACGATAATTACGTAGGATAAATAAAAGGCTTTTATTTTAATTACAGTTTTATTTAATTACATTTCCTTTAATATTCTACAGATTCTGCTCAAATTGTAATCCCCTGTTACGAATACACGCCCGCATTCTCTTACGTAATTCACTTTTGGTAACTCTAGTTGTTAAGCGGCTTTTTATTTGGTCAGCTGCACTGATTATCCTTGTAATTAATTCATCGCGCGTTGGTACGGGCGAAACATCGTACACCAGGCTTTTCATATGTCCCCACACATAGTAATCCATCGGTGTGAGATCTGGGCTTCTTGCTGGCCAGGCAATGGGCCCGCCTCTGCCAATCCATTGATTTGGAAATTTAGAGTCTAAATACGCCCGTACTATTCTACTGTAGTGTGCGGGACAGCCGTCGTGTTGGAACCGCATATTTTGTCTCGTCGCCAATGGGACGTCTTCCATTAATGGAAACAAGTGATTTTTCAAGCACTCTTCATACACGTCTCCATTTAAATTGGCGGGCATAAAATGAGGTCCAATTAAATATCCGCTGTGTTGCGGTGGAAGTTCGGGGGTGTTTACACTCCTGAGCCAAAAGAAGAGCAGTGGGGCGACACCTGCTGGAACTGGCCTGGCTCCAAACCAGGAGTCGGACCAGCCCAGACCGACGGGAGCTGTGGCGGTAGACCAGGCTCCTTCACAGGGGATGGTTCGGCCGGGTCAGCTCTCGCTGGAACCACCGGAGGCTACGGACGTGGAGGCGGCGGGTCCAAGCGGGATATCCGCAGAAAACATCGTGGCGGACCCTGCGATGGATCTGGTCCCAGAGGGAAACGACAGCGACTCGGACGAGGATGGAATCCTGAACCGAGTCCGAGAACTCCTCCGTGGAAGCGGAGATGAAGGCGGCTGTGGCAGCGAAGACTGCGGCGGCGACGGCGGTACGCCCGAATAGGGGTTACATACCGTCATTCGGGAAGGTGTAGGAAGGGCCTCTCAACATCCATGGTAAGTTTTAATTTCATCCAAATTAACTTACAACACTGCATAGCGGCTTCGAGGGCCCTTACTCAGGAGATCACTCGAGGCCGACATGACGTGGCTCTCATCCAGGAACCCTGGCTGAGAAACGGTTCAGTAAACGGGCTTAGTATACCGGGCTATACGCTTTTTAGCGATACTCCGGACACTAAGCCCAGAGCTTGCGTAATGACTTCTGTCAACTCATGGCAACTTAAAGAATTTACATTCAGAGACTTAGTTGCAGTCAGAATTAGATATAAGAAGGAAGGCAGTGACAGGGACTTGGTTGTATGTTCGGCTTACCTTCCTTACGATTCAAGAGACCCTCCTCCATCTAAGGAAATGGGGGACCTTGTCGCATTCTGTAGGGATTCTGGACTCGACCTTGTGATTGGATGCGACAGTAATGCTCATCACGTTACGTGGGGCAGCTCTAACACCAACAGACGGGGCGAAGACCTGATGGAGTTTCTTGGGGCATCGAACCTTGAGGTTCAGAATGTCGGTAACATGCCCACTTTCAGCAGTAGTGTAAGAGAGGAGGTTATCGACGTAACACTGAGCACGCTTAACTTAGCTCAGGACATCAGGGACTGGAAAGTGTCTCTAACACCCTCTCTATCGGATCACAGGTATATACTGTTCAAGACTGATGGAGAGATTCCGGATAAATATGCTCGGAATCCCAGGCATACTAGATGGGGGTCCTTTAGGGCAGACATTGACAGTAAGCTTGGAGCGGTCCCATACAGGCTTGGCAGGGGCTCTGACATAGAAGCAGCTGTCGAGTCTCTGAGCAGGGACTTGACGGCTGCATATGAGGAAAACTGCCCGTTACGCAAAGTACAAGGTAAGGGCAAGGCAACCTTCTGGACCAAAGATTTAGAGGATAGAAAACGAGCCGTGCACAAACTTCTTAGCAGAGTTAAGCACAGGAGAGGTTCTCCTCTATGGGAAGAATACAAAAAGGCATTGCAGGAGTATAAAAAGGAGATTAGAAGGGCCTCCAGAGAATCCTGGAGGCACTTCTGTCAGTCCATAAATGACATTCCTGCTACTGCAAGAATACACAGAGTCCTATGCAAAGACATTAAAGCAAGATTGGGATCTCTGCATGATCCCTCGGGGGGGAACACTACTTCCGAGGAAGATACTCTGAGGCTTCTGATGAATACGCACTTTCCCGGTTCCACAGTAGCGCGATCAATCACAGAGTGCATGCAGTTGCGCAGGCCCTCAAGGGAGGACTGGCGCACGGCAAGGGAGATTGTCACCTTCGAAAGGACGGTATGGGTTGTTCCTTACCTGTTGAATGTGTTTCGAGCATGTGTGGCCACGGGCTTCACACCTAGAAGCTGGCGGCAGGCTAAAGTGGTATTCATTCCTAAACCGGGCAGAGATAGATATACTGGCCCGAAGGATTTTCGACCGATTACTCTTTCATCTTTTGTGCTTAAGACCCTGTAAAGGATCCTAAGGGATGGCCCACTGGAAAAGTGTGTCATTCATGCAAATCAGTTTGCATACCAAGCTGGAAAATCGACTGATCTGGCCTTACACAATCTGGTCGGGAGGCTGGAGAAGACTCTAGATTAGCGAGAAGTGGCACTCGTGGCCTTCTTGGATATTGAAGGTGCATTTAATTGCACCACAACCGACTCTATCAGACAGGCCTTGGTTAGACACGGGGTTGGATCAATCCTAATAGATTGGGTCCTCTCTACTCTGGAGGGTCGGGTAACAACAGCTATGCTGAATAACGTAAGCTGCAGCGTGAACGTAGCTAGAGGCTGCCCTCAGGGCGGAGTTCTGTCACCCCTACTGTGGTGTATCGTGGTGAACGAACTGCTCGTTAGGCTCAGCAGTATGGGTGTCTATGCGCAAGCCTATGCTGATGACGTAAGCATAGTGGTTAGGGGGCGTTTCTGTAGAACAGTCTCGGAAATTATGCAGGGCGCTCTGCGCTCCGTGGAATCGTGGTGTAGGGAAGTCGATCTTTCTGTTAATGCTGAAAAGACCGAGCTGATCCTATTCACTAGGAGAAGAAGGCTTGACGGATTGGTCATGCCGACTTTCTTTGGGACTAGATTAGTTTTGTCCCAGTCAGTGAAATATCTGGGAATTATCCTGGACTGCAAACTGAACTGGAGAGAGCATGTGGAACACAAGGTTAGCAAGGCTCGCAATTCGATGTGGGCTTGTAGACGTGTTGTCGGTGTAAGGTGGGGGCTTAAACCCAAGGTGGTATACTGGCTCTACACGACGATAGTACGTCCATCTCTCTTGTACGGCTCCCTGGTCTGGTGGCCTTGCATTAGAACTGAGTCAACTAAGGCCAAACTCAATAAAATTCAGCGTTTGGCCTGT